GTGCTACAGCAACTTCCAAACCACGCCTTTGAGCCTAACCCAAGATATCTGGGTTCTGGGCGACGTTTTCCTGAGGCTGTATTTCTCCGTCTACGACCGGGATAATCAGAGGATGGGCCTGGCGCCGGCCGTGTGAACCGCTCCCCTCTCCGCAATGCCAAGGGAGCCCCCTGCACTACACACACACACACACACAAACACACAGAGGCACGGAGAGACGCCCAGCTACAGCCCCGCTAAGAGCTGTACAGGGGCCCTTCGCAGTGACCAAGACAGGACTTTCCAGTGCTAATAATGACGGCTTCAGTTGTCCGGTCCGGGTCTGGACACAGGACTCCGGCCACCTCAGGCCCGGGGTCACCTACCCTCCGGACCGCTGCTCTCCCTCCAGCTTGACAGGATGGTGGTGTGGATTCAACTGTTGTCCCCTCGGTATGGGAATTCTACCCCTCCCCCTGTAGGTGTCAGCTCAGAACAGGAGTTACTCTGTTAGGTTAAAGGAGGCCATGCCAGCGTAGGGAGTCTCTGAAACCCCACCAAAGGAGGTAAAGGCCAGCCAGCACCAATGGGGGACAACGGACAGATACCCCGTGCAGATGCCCAAGGACCACCGAGGAAGAACAGGAGAGGCGCTACGAAGAGGAATTTCAACCGCCTCAGACCTAGTACCATCTTCCTCCCCCGAGCTGGTGTCCGCCCTGAATTCTTTCTGCCTTCTTGCTTCCTCGCCTGTGAGACAATAAATTCTCTACAAGCGCCGCCTGCGGAGCTTCTATGATACCAGCCACAGGGGACTCAAAAGGGAGGCCCTGGTGGTACAGGGGGTGACGCATTTGGGATTTCTAACGGCAAGGCAATCAGTTCGAATCCACTAGTCGCTCGGTGAGAGAATGTGGAGGCTGACTGCTCCCATAGTCTGAAACTCGAGTTGATTCCAAAGCACAGCAACCCGGTAGGACAGAGTAGAGCTGCCCCTATGGGTTTCTGAGACTGTCACTCTTTTTTTTTTTTATCATTTTATTGGGAGCTCTTACAGCTCTTATAACATCCACACATCAATTGCATCAGTCACGTGTGTGCATATGTTGCCATCAACATTTCCAAAACAGTTTCTTTCGACTTGAGCCCTTGGTACCAGCTCCTCTTATTTCCCTCCCTCCCCCACCTTCCCTCCCTTGTGAAGCCTTGATAAATTATCATTATTATTCTTTTCATATCTTACATGGTCCACTGTCTTCCTTCACTCACATTTCTCTTGTTCATCCCCCGGGAGTGGGGTGTGTGTCTTATGTCAATCGTTGCAATCAGTTACCCCCCTCTCCCCCTTCTCCCCCCACCCTCATGGTATCACTACTCCCATTACTGTTCCTGAGAGGTTTCTCTGTCCTGGATTCTGTGTGTCGAGAGCTCTTATCTGTACCAATGTACGCATTCCGGTCTAGCCAGATTTATAAAGTAGAACTGGGGTCATGATAGTGGGGAGAAGGAAGCATTAAAGAACTAGAGAAATGTTGTGTGTTTCATTGGTGCTATACTGCACCCTGACTGGCTCATCCCTTCCTTGTGATCCTGCTGTGAGGGGGCATCCAATTGTCTACAGATGGGCTTTGGGTCCCCACTCCGACCCTCCTAGTTCCAATTGATATGTTTTGGGTCTTCTGATGCCTGATACCTGTTCCCATCAACACCTCATGATCACACAGTTGGTATGATTCTTCTATGTGAGCTTTGTTGCTTCCCTGCTAGATGACCACTTGTTTAACTTCAAGTCTTTAAGACCCCAGACCCTATATCTTTTGATAGCTGGGCACCATCGGCTTTCTTCACCACATTTGCTTATGCACCCATTTGTCTTTAGCGATCATGTCCGAAGGTGGGCATCACAGAATACCAGGTTATTAGAACAAAGGGTTCTCGAATTGAAGAAGGGCTTGAGTAGAGGCCCAATGTCTGCTACCTTAATACTTCACATATAAATATATGTACATAGACCTATATCCCTATCATTATATATTAATATATTTACATATATACATGCCTATATGTATACCTGTATAAATGTCTTTTGCCTCCTAGTTCTTTCCTCTACCTCCTTTTACTTTCCTCCTGTCCCACTATCATATCGACCTTCATTCGGCTCTCAGTAATTCCTCTCGACTACATTGCACTTGATCAAACCCCACCAGGTATTCTAT